ACTGATACAAGAAATTAGAAAATAGTTCATAAAGATGAAAATGCTTTAGCTGAAATTAATCTTAGTGTGTTCAAATTTGTTACAGGACTAACAATGATCTTGCTTGCTACACATCCTGAAAGGCAGTTGTGAGTTATAGGATATCACGCAAAATTACTGCAAACTCAGCATTTTGAAGTGTTTGTGTAACTTGACACAATCTGTTTCCAAGTTTATGCTGTATTAAACCAACCAAACAAAAAAGTTTTAGCTTTGCAGTGCTTACTTACATCTAGGTATTGTTTTACTATACTCCTCTTCACTTCTTCAGTGATCTTGGAATTAGCCATATCACTCCGCAGAAAATCCAGCGTTTGTTTGGGGTGGAAATGCACTCCCGTCTTTCTGTTTATCGCTTTATCATAAACTTTTGCCGATTCAGATGGAGAATATTTCTGAATTTTACTGTTTAGAGAAGACAAAGGGAAGAGACTTAAAGGTGAACCCAAAGCAATTTTTCAGGAGAAACTTTCAAAATCTTCAAGGAAAGCAGTTAATGTAGTTAAATGAGAATTTCTATTTCCACCAGCTTTTAACATTCCTCCACAGCTGACTTGAGAGAGGCCTCCCTAGGTTACAAGCTGGTAGCGCTCCCACTCCCCAGGCATCCTCACCTATCAGAGAATCCACAGAGGTTCTTTAAATGCTGTTTCAGCATCAGAAGTAATAATATGCCTTGAGAGACATTTGCAAACTCAATTAAAGGAGCTGAATTTTCGCGTAAACATTTCATCACAGCATTTATATCATTTTCTTCATCAGAGTCTGAATCCGAGTCTACTCGTTTCCGTGACCTCCGAGGCTTGGAAGGTTCCTCCTCGCTCTCGCTCCCGCTGTTGCTGTCACTCTCGGTCTCCTCATCCGATGAAGGTTTCCTTTCCTTTTTTTTGTCTTTCACCATGGACTGCGAGACAGAGGAGTTAACACAGAGCCCAGAATTAGGACAAATACTACCGTGTACCTTTCTCAAAAGTCTCTGGCATACACAGCTTATACTGCTATCAACATATACATAAAAATATAAATGCATTTACCTCTTTAAACGACTGTAGTAGGTTGCTACCGGAGACTGATAAGGTAATGTCTATATGATGCATAATAAACAGTGGCTCTTCCTGTGTTTGATAGGGAAAACAGGCTAGATTGTCTGCTATATACAAGAGCATATTCACCTCTGTTTTCTGCAAGTTAAAAAAACCAAAACATTTTACAGATTGTACGTATAAATATATATACAAATATATTACAGATTTATAGTTACCTGTGTTCTAATAGTCTACAGTAAAAATATTATTACAAATTTCTTCCTATGTAACTCCTCTAACCTCATCCTAGTCAAACTGTACACAAGCGAACTTTAGTCAAGCTGAATATATTATATATATATGTGTGTGTGTGTGTATGTGTGTGTGTGTGCATACACTCACAATAATCACATGCATTTTCTGCATATGATTACAAAGTGGCTACAGGAAGATAATGAAATGTGCAAAAGTAACCACATATGTTCCATAATATAGCTTAATACCTTATTACAAAATAAAATGTATTAGGGGAACAAAGTTATTGATAATTACGTCAAAAATATTTTAGAAGGAGAATCTGAGCTTGTGACACTGTATCTTAGTTCTTTTCTAGAGGAAGGAAGGGCGATGCTTACTGCAGTGTCATCAAAGAGGTTGAGTAAAGAAATGAGGAAGGCTCTTCTGTGCTGACGGTTCCCGCGGATCATGGAGTACAGGTGTGAGCACAGAGCGCTGGATGATTCGTCGTGTCTGAAGCCTCTCACAGGATCCTTTGGGCAGGTATTAATCGCCTGTTGTACCTGGTAAGACATCTTCATACCAGCCACTGCTTTCATCTGCAACAGAGAAGTGTTTGTTTTTATTAAAATCCTGGCTTCCAAACCACAAAGCTGAAACACAAAACAAAGCAATTTCTACAGTGGAAAATTTAAAAATGCAGATTCCAGAAGTCCATAGTTTTTGCCAATCAACAGAAATAGCTAACTTGTATTTTAGCATTTTTTTTTAATCTTTCTAAGTGTACATTTATATGAAGTTTAGCTTCCAAACGCAAACTGAGGTAATTTTATTTTTTGAGTTGGCAAATGGATCAGAACGTTATTTGTGGCAGAGACCATAATGTCTCATAAGCAGCTTCATTGCAAATATTTCAGTAATAAAGCTATTTTCAGGAGTAATGTGCACACCTGTAACAGATTATGTTATGAAGTTTGTAAAGCTAACCTAACTTTTAGTAGAACAAAATACTAAGTCCATATAACTGCAAGAGAAGAGATGGAAAATCAGTTTGGTTGCCCATTTCTTAAACCTCCCAGCTGCTTTTCTTTGCTCCAGGGCTTCTGCTCTGGTTTCAGCACCTCCTGAGAGGCAGCCAGAGGGCCCATTCCACACTCCCCACATGCACCCGCCTCGGCTCCTGCTCCATGCAGGAGGGAGCTGGGATCTCCTTTACCACTGGGGATGGCGTTGTCGTTTTTTATTCTTTTTTTTGCAGCTGTGGCACGTTTAACTGTCAGAAGACATATAATCAATACTAATTAAAAGTTAAAATTAAAATTACTTACGTGAATGAACCCAGCATATTTTTTGTCTATTTCCACCAGCTGCTGGTCAGCTTTGTTTCGCATAGAGGGCTCTGGATCTGTGCCCATAGCAATTAAGTACGGCACACACTTGAAAAACAAACGAAATGGTTATTCAGAGTCTTTGCACCACCTCTCTCACACTACCCATTTGCCTTCTATCTATTATAATGTTCTTGTTCTGACTACTCCAGGAACTAGAATACAAGACTTTATGCAAGTTACTACTTCGTTGCTTTTTGGCAAACACTAATATAAATTACAAGACAAAGCAGCATTGTAAGATTACAAGTATTATAAGGATTTATAAGGATAAAAGTTTTTGGATAGAATTCCCATTTTTTCTCTCAAACTCAGAAGCCCAGATACACTACAAAAGATACCATTAAAATATATACATAAACAAATAGTGTTTGCTACTTCATATGCACAACAGTTGCGGCATTGAAAATAATCATAAAAATATTAAATATGCAAAGAATAGCAGAGATGACAACTAGAGATACTTCTGACAGTGACTCTGAAATTTCACACAATCTGGAGGACACGGGTTGGGAGGAGCAGAAGAGCAAAGCTGACAAACTTCAGTTTAGAGAATCAAGGCAAGAAGAAAAAGGCTGAGCACGTGCTGGGAATTTAAACACACAACAAAAAAGCAATTTACTCCAGCAGGCCTTTGTAAGTGCTGGGCTTTCAGATCTTAATGCAGAGAATAACAAAGTGGAGCTCCCACTGCCTTATCAACACAAACCAAATTTAAATTTCAAAATTTGTTTCCTGCAAAGGCACCTTGCTGCCGTAGGAAACTACTGTAACAGAGTTGGAAGAGAAAGAAAAAAAAAAAGTCTGGAAATGCATCTTAGGCAGCCTACCACCTTCTGAAGAGCTGAACAACAAGAATCCCCCCCATGAAACCTGTCATACCTGTACAGGATGGATGAGACCCTGGTTTAATGTCAGTGCGATGACATTTAGAGCAAAGTGGCGCACGCTGGACTGGGTATGAAAGAAAGCCTCAAGGACCTGTTTGAGATACAGCTGCATGATGGAACTACTCATCCCTGAGGAAATATCACCCATTTCTTTCAGGTCTTCCTGTTTTGCTACTTTTTTCCCTGCAAAAAGGACAAAAGCAATAGCACACTCGTCACAGTGGCACTTAGTTCACTACTATTGGAGGCATACTGGTCTTTAGGCTTTGAAAAGTAGTATTTCAGCTAGCTTAGAATGGATTTATGATCTTATAAAACTTATTAACAATCTAAGAGCAAAATATACTTCATAAATCTAAAGGGACAAGACCTTATTAAAGTCTTGTTTCTAAATAAAGCTTTTTGTTTTAAACAATTTCTTATGATAGCTGCAAATTAACCTTAGAGAATAATTTTGGGAAAAGTATTTAGTGCCATAAGTACAGAGTTATATATTCAGGATTGCTTCCAGGATTTCTGCATTTTGAAGTTAAATGTTAAGTTACACTTCTCAGTACACCTGTGTACACAATCTCTGATAATTAATCTAGGATACATTATCCTTAGATATTATTGACTAGATAACAATCTTAAGTGACTCAGCTCACATGAAGGGCAATTTTATTCTATAAAGTTTAGATCTTGCATTCCTCGTTAGCAGAGAAGAGCTTAACACTTACAGTCTCTATCTGCCTGCTGCATCCGTGTATCCTCCTCCTGCAAGTAGGTTTGCAGGTTTTTTAACACCTGGATTTTTAAGTTTACTGAGCAGTTCTTATCTGAAAGAATGCTGTTGTACAGAGTCTTCACTTCCTGTTCGAACATTAAACTTGGGTGTTGTATAAATGCAAATCCTAAAGGAAGGGGGGGAAAAAAAGAGGTTTGTTATCTTCTAGAAACCGTATATGTATTTTTGAAAGTCTTGCCTCAAACATAAGTATGAAATAAAATGCAGTCTTTCACTCAGATGCTGCAAGTACAACTCAGAGATGGCAGAATGCAGTTTTACAAGATTCTGGCCACCTTGAACGTACTCAAGTACTTAAGCAAAACATAACTCAACTAGAGATTTATCACATTCTCATTTCTCTCTAGCCCAAATAGTACTGGTTTTTCCTGTGACCACCACCCAAAGCCTGTAAGGAATTTTGGCAGCCGCAGCAGCAGCCCTCAGCGCGGGGATGAGGCGGAGGCGCCGGCAGGGCCCGGGCAGCCGGCAGCAGGGCCAGGAGCTCTCCCCCAGAATGAGGCAGCCACAACCCTGAAAGTTCCCCCAGGTTTTTCCAACACATTTGGAGAAAAAATTCTGCCAAAAATGTGGCCAAGCAAAAGTAGAAAAAAAGTAACAAAATATCACAGGTGTTTATAAATAAAGCCTTGAAACAAAAACAGCAAATGCACTAAACTTTGTACCTCTTGCTGCCATGATTTGTATACCTGCTAGACTCTTCTCTTGAAGACTACCTGAAATCTTCCCAATATCACATCTGCTGGAAGATACCCCCTGATCTGCCTTATCCTTACCAATGAGCTGCTGCTTCTTACTCAGGGCAGTATTTATTTCATGAGGTTCCTGACCTTGAGCGACACTGAACCCCAAAAGTCACCTGATGTCAGGGGCTGGAGGAGGCAACACATCCCACAGCGCGAACTCAAGCGCATGGGAAACAACCTTCTTTGGACTGAGCCCTCACCATGGTGCACTCTTCCATGAACCAAGACCTATCCATCCAAACGAGTCTCCCAGATTTGCAATTTTTGTCTTTGAGAAGTGTGATACCAGCGGCTCAATGCCACTTCATGTACCCCTGCAATTCATCAAGCTACTGTCTCAGGGAATGCCTGCAGGTAGCGAATCTATCTAAAATTGAAACACGGCCCAAATCCAGAGAGGAACTGTAGTGTTTAGGCTGTGACATCTTCTTAATGCCTCTTAACTAAATCTGCAGCTGAAGATCTGCCATGACACTTAGCAGCATCTGAAATGTTTCTAGCACTTTTTATTTTTCCAGTTGTTTTTTTTACCATGCCTTGAGGGCTGAAAAGCAAGAACTGGAGTTGCAACATGCTTGGAGGTGGATTCCTTTAGGAATCTGCTGCTTCTGAAGACTTGATCAAAAATCCAAAAAGTATGCACGTGCAAAGGTAATCTGCTGCTGAAATAGGCAAGTAGCAGCCCTTTGACTACTTTGGCAAAAGTGAGTGTTTGAGGATGAAAGACATGTTTTTAATTTCTTAAAAAGAATAAAAATCAAAATGTAAAGGAGAAAAATCTTACTGGAGAGCCTTTGGAAATGTTTAGTTTTACAAACTAAAAATCTACATCATAAGCATTATAAAAAAATACATAGCTTTGCATGACAAGGAATTCTCTACTTTCAAGTATTTGAATACATAAGAACTTGGAGAGTAAATACAAGTCATTTTACCTTACTGTTACCCTTAAAGTCTTCCTGATCAAAATCAAAATGCCGACATAATGCTCCAACAGTGAAAAGTGATCTGAGGAGTGCTGGTTTATTGGCAGTAAGTATTGTACTGTTGGGATCTTCTTGGTGTTGACTTTTTAGTTTGGAAAGTGCACCTGGAGAAAGGTGAAAGTTTTAATCCTGTGTGTGGTAATTGCTGCGTAGCCCTAAGATAACCAAGCATGCAACAAAACTTAAAAGTGACAAATACACATTGATGTGATTTTACATACCATAGTATCTATTAAAACAGGCCCACACAAATTTGTAGTTTTGTGTGACTTTGTTCACAACAGCCCCAAGACAGCTCACACAATGCTGAACAACCTAGAAGCAAAAGAACAAATTTATTATTTATTCAGAAGCTAAAACAGGGATTTTTGTAAAGTTATATAAGCAAAGAGCTATGTAAAACTAAAACTAATGCTCCAGCAGATGCAATACTCATCTCCCAGACTGCTCTGAAAGGCTCTACGCAAGTTCATAATCATCCCCTACAGACTCAGGCAAACCACAAAATTACCAGTCCTATGACCAGCATAGATTTAATACTGAAGATAAAATTTCTTTAACTGAAAACTACATATTTCAAAACATGAAACAGAACCAAAAAGAGAACAGCAAGAATTAAACTTTACCGTCATGCCATATTTGATGATGAGTTTCATGAGATCTTCCTCAATAGTGGCAAGGAAGGTCTCACTTGGGTGCTCCATTAGTGGAACTACGAGCTCTAGGATTTTTGCAACGTTGCAGATCACCATGAAATCATTCTGAGTCTGGAAGAACAGCATTTCCAGTAGTTAAAATTGCTGGCTGAGTGTAGATTGTAGTATTTGATGAAGTTAAAATTAAAAATTAAAGTTTTAAAAGAATATTTAAATAGTTGACCTCTGACATTAACTTACACTATATAGGAACACTACCTTATATTATGCAGGAACTCTCCCTGACGTACACTAAAGCTAGACTCTTCCTGATACACACCCCCTAAAAACCAAATAACAGATAGCAATGAATCACCATCAAAAGCGGCTGCCCTGTGTCTGAACGGGGATTGAATAAAATAGACAGCAATGAGCACACAGGTACAGTTATTAAAATAATCAGTATGTTCCAGACAATGCAAGTTTTGCCTACAGAAAACACTGTATGGATTAAACATACATCCTCCTAGAAACTGAAGGTTTTGGCAGATCAAACTCACTACTCATCACAGGACAACCTTATCAAGTGGATGGTGAATAATTTTACAAACCACCCCAAGCTGCATAAACACAAAACCGACAGATCCCATCTCCACTGGAGATGCTGCAGCAAGTAAATAAACAGATGCCCTTTCCTATACGGTTTGGTCAGCAGAGATAATAAGGAGCTCTTGGAGTGCTTGGTAGATAGTGCTTTCTTGATCATTTTGGGTTAAAAGACTGATTTTCTAGTTTTATCTACTTACGCTACATTTAGTGGTCAGGTATGGCTGCATGGTCATGGCATGTTTCACCATTAGTTGGGGCCTGATTTTGCTGAATAAGAACAAAGTGGTTATGCAAGCAACCAAGCGACCAGAATTCACCCCTTTGTTGTCAGAATCTGCAAGAATCAGCACACACAGGAAGGACATTAAATGTAAGCATTGTTTGACCAACTGAATACATGTCACATAAGCATCATAAGAAAATCTTTTTCATAACATATCCTTCTAGATCAATATAGAGTATGTTTATTAGATAAGACATTCAAGATGAGCACATGCAAACATTAATGCATTATTTTATCACAAAGTTAAGTGAAAGAAGAAGCACAGATGTGTCAAAGACATCACTGGGTTTTAAACTCTTTATAAATAAGACTGGCCCTGCCAATGATTCCTGTTATAACTGCAGAACACATTAAGGCAAAAAAGCTTTTCCAAATATGAGGAAATTTATTTTGTTTTTAACTTATCTAAAAGTTTGAGTAAGTTATTTTAAAAGCAGTTCAGTTAAAGGTGGTTATCTGGAGAAAATCAGGGGATTTTTATGATAACAGTTTTCAAAAGTTCCTTTGACTATAATCAACTTAAATGCAAGATCCTGACAAAGGTCTCAACTCACCACCGCAGGTTCTGTAATAGTAAGTCTACCACAGTAACTTCTTGTGACAGTAATTTTAAAAATTGTTAAGAGTTTCATATAAAACTTAAAGCTATTCAGCTACTGTACTGTAAATAATATTACCTGATAAAGATTCCTCATATTTAAGGATGTGCTCAACCAAATTGTCAACAAGCTGCGTACAGGCTTTCTTCACAGGTTTATATGAGGCATCCTCTTCTGATTTCAATAGCTAAAATGGAGCAAACAGAAAATAATGTTAAGGGTGCAGTCATTTACAGTGGATGCACACTGGTTTTACAGCAATTGTTACATATATTTTGTTCTATGAAATAATTTATACAACATGTCCATTACAGCTATAGGATAAAGAAAAATTTAAGTGAAGTAACAAACCAAAATACAAGAGAAGTTGAGAAAAATCCTTTGATATCTAGCAAGGATCTAGCAAGGATCGAGTCTGTCCTATGGCTTTCTATTCTGTGGAGGCATTAAAGGGGCCTCTGGCTACCTATTTTCATGACACAGCACGAAAAACTAAAATCTTCTGGTATCTCCAGTTGCCCCATCCATACTTCGGGTAATTTTGCTTGGGAATTAACCGGTGCACACAAGATGTATGCACGCGAGAATGACAGCACAGACGAACAGATCCATACAAAGCAAGCTCAGGTAGCAATAAACGATACTCTCAGAACTCACTGCTTCTATAAACCACGTGACAAATAAATCAAACTCGGAATACACTTATCTGCCACTTAAAACAATCTACATGAATAGATGCCTCCTTTCAGAATTAACAGGAAGGCTGCAGGTAACAGGTATACATGTTCCATAACTCAGAAGACAGTGAATGAAAAAGTATAAAATATTTTTAGGACAGATCACATATAAGGATGAAAAATAGTGGCAGAGACAAAGTGCACCAATAAAGACAAAAAAAAAGGCACATATTTAAAGAGCATGAACGGAATTAGTGTACTTTGTGCCTATTTGATCATTCCAGTAGTTCCCCTTCAGTGTGTCTCAGTACTGAGAAGAATGCTAACACACCTAAAATCGTTGTGGCATATTCTCAAAACTCCTTACTTACATTTTGAAGAAGCTGTTCAAACCAGTCATACCCTGTATCTCTACAAGCTGCAACCTAAAAGTGGGATTTAAAATACACTAATTAAAAGGTGAATCTGAAGAAACATTATTTTAATGCAGACTTGATATTAAAAGTACACATGTATAGCTATTATTTTCCTATGCATTCAGTGCAATGGTTTTATGCCATTAAAGATCAGAAAACATGTCTTTTGTACTTGAAAAAATACTTCTAATCTTTTAAGTGATTCCAAAATATGTATTTCATACAGCAAAAAGTCTACAGATTTTAATGCTCTCACCCTGGGTGAGAAAGTGACCCAGTATTTGTTAAAAAGGCTATTAACCTTTCAAAACAAATTTTTATTGATTGTTGTAAGAATATTTTCATTTAAGAGAGAAGTTCTTAGCTTCAATTAATACTATAGCCTGTTATTAGCATTTCCAGGAAAATTTTATACTTAAAAGAAATTCCTATGCTTTAACTGAACAATTATTTTACACAACTTCAATATAGTGTGGCCCTGTTACCACTATTAACAGATTACTGAGCATTTAAGTGTCCTAAAGTCCTGTTCCATGAGATAAACACTGGGATATATTCAGGGATAGCAGAGAGACAGAGAAACTGGCCTGATCTTCCATTTTTTGTGCTTTGTAAAAGATTATGGATAAGTATTTCAAAGATATTTGAAACAACCAAATTTTGCATGCAACATACCACATCAGTGATGTTAAGGATCTTCCTGGTCATTGCTTCTTTGTCATGGTGTGGAGTCGGAGTAAACCAGAGCTTCTGGAATGTCTCATTTACTAATTTCTGAAAGAAAAAAAATATTCTTATAAATAAATAATTTTATCTTGACATGCATGCATTATTTCTAATATATATTACAAGATATATGTTTTACTATCTAGTATTTTCAATATCCAATCGATGTGTTGGTGATACGTGCCATTTCATATGAAGCTATTCGACCTCAGTGAGTCTGTTTCAGAGAGTACTTTTCTGAGACAGATCCAGATCTACTATTACAGAAGTTACACTGGCCTCTAAGCACAAAATATCACTGGGAACTGAAGCTACAGAAAATGGAGCTGTCCCTCTCCTCCTTTAATCCGCACTTCTCAGGAGAACATTAGTGTCCTGAGAAAACAACGGCTCAACCCAAGCGGGCCGTTTCCCGAGCAGGCACCGCCGCAGGGGCAGAGCACCGGAGAGGCAGGGAGAGCCCCAGGCCCCGAAGGGCACGTTGC